TTCTCGTTTACTCAAATTCCCCGCCAGAGGGCGTCGTCTGAAACCTTTTGGGACATACCTTATTAGTATTTTTGACGCGATTAACAGTTTTGTAAATATATTTAATGTATGAAATTGTAAGGGATTTACGGATACATATGTTGGTTGATCATCTTGATTGCTTTCACATGTCCATCCTTAATGATATTGGTTATGGCTTTAATAATCATTACTTAAATCGATGCATTTATGCTTTTATTTGAATAAAATTTGTACACGTATGTATGTATCTTTATCAGTCGGTTCATATTAGCGTGTACATTGTATATACAATGTATATATTTATACGCATATGTACACATTGATAATACTATTATGTATGTACGTATGTGTACCCAAGTACTACATACGCAAGTATGTATGTGTTGTTCTCTCTCTAAAGCTGTCCTACTTTATCCAGACATGATTGCATATTACCAAGACTCGTTTTCATGCATTTACATATAACTATATATTTATGCGTAGAAATACATATTTACATTTGCCTAACGTGGGATTTCCAACAAACTAGTCCTTGTTCAAGTCTACAGATGATAAGGCAAGATGAGGCTTAGCTGCTAATGTTGAGAATGTTGAGGGTTGTCGAAGTAAAAATTTATGTATTGATTTTAAGCGAAGGCGACAAAAACTACACTTTTATGATTTTTGTCGTCTGAATTCTTAACTCAATTAACTGGATGTGGTACAAAATATGTATCACCTTTCTAGTTTGTGCTGAAGTTTATTAAGTGGTTCTCATGCTTGATTGATTGATTGATTTATTTCATCAAACTTGCTTTTTACAAAGCTTGTTACGTTTGACGGCTCATATTATTTTTACAATAATTATAAGGTTTGTTCAATTGAACAATTCGTAAACACGTTAATTAGTCATAAATTAGATTAGATTAGAAATATAGTGATGTGTCATTAATCAGTTATACATTAGTTACTTAATTTTATAGAAATTGGTCATTTAGTAGTATATGGGTTCGTAATTTTGTCTTAAATACGTTATCATCTACACAATTCTTTAACTCCTCCGGGAGTTTATTCCATGCAATAACAGGGTGAAAATGAATACTTCTCTCACTTATTCTATTTTTAGGACAAAAGTTACCTCTTAAGTTTAAACAGTTACGCGTAGAATATTTGTGAAAATTCATGCTCTTTTTGATAAAGTCCTGGAAGAATGGAATATGGTTGTTTTGTAAAGAATGCAAGAAACACAAAGACTTATAATAATAATTTTGCTTCGGGAGAAACCACTTTAAATTATCCTTAATCATGACCCGTATTGGATCATAACGTGATTTCCCCAGAATGAATCTTGCAACTCTACGCACCCCTTTCTCAATTATTTTTAGGTTTTTGGAACAAGACGAACCCCATATTATTATCATGTAGTTAAATAATGAAATTAGGCATGCATTAAAAATTAGTATGAGGTTCTTTTGTGACATCAGAGGCTTAAGCGGATAGATCGACCGTGCTACAAAGTGAAATTTACGAGACAACATGTTGATATGATTGTACCAGGATAGTTTTGAATCAATTGTTAAGCCCAGGCTCTTGATTTGATCTTGACTAAATATTTGTACCCCTTCCACCTCGATGGTTAACTGACCAACTTTTGCCAAGTTTGCAGCACTACCCATTATTATCATCTGAGTTTTTTGTAAATTTAATTTCATGCCATTACATTTCATCCAGTGTATTACAGCAGTCAAGTCCAGTTGTAGTTGTGTGACCATGTCAGTCAGTCGACTTACGTCGCCACTTTTGCATAGCTGGCTGTCGTCCGCAAAAAGTACCAATAAGCAGTGCCGTACAACTAGGGGGAGGGCATTTATGTAAATACAGAAAATTAAGCTCCCCATTACGCTTCCTTGTGGACATCCATGTACAGTAAATCGAACTGCTGACATTTTCCAATTCGAGTCTTTTACTACTTGTGCACGATAACTAAGGTATGACCTAAACCACTTTGGGTCGATGCCGTACCATTTAAGTTTTTCAAAAAGAAAATCCCTAACTATTAGGTCAAAAGCACGTGATAGGTCTAACGCCACCAGTATGCAAATCTGACCTTTATTAATGTTTTCATAAATAGACTCCGTTACGGCTAACATTGCAGATTCACAAGAGTGTTTAGTTCTGAAACCAAACTGTCCTTTGTAAAACATATTGTGAGAGTAAAGATAATTAATTATTTGGGAATGTGCACATTTTTCTATTAACAGAGAAAGAAAAGGTTGCACGGCAACGGGGCGATAATGTGCCGGCTCAGAAGAGCGTCAATCTTTGGAATTGGGGTAATTGTTCCAGTTTTCAAGAAATAAGGGAATTCTCCGCACATTAATGACCTATTGACAATATCGGTAATAGCTTGAGCAATTGTGGGGCTACCTATCGTATATTTTAACATTATTGGTGCAAAGTCAGTACTGTCATGGGTTGTTCTGCTACGAGTTTTCAATTTGTTGTATAGTTTAATGAGTCGATGGATGGTAACCTTTGTAAATTGGAATTTGGCGTCAAAAATGGTGTATGGGTTCGCTGGGCATGTACAGTTAACTTCTTCATTAGAAACACCTGCGAAAAAGTCATTCAAGATGTCGGGGTCAAAGTCGTTTGATCTGTTTTGGGAAAATAAATATTTCTTAGTTTTCCATACACCATTCTTTTTAATGTCGTTGTCAATTTTATTCCTGCAGTCGCGCCTAAACCAAATTTTAATAAGATTGTTTAGTATCCTTAGTCGAGTTTGTGTCAAGTGTGAAGGTGAGGTTTTATGTATAGCGTACAAATTGTCCCTATATGTCACCAAGCGTTTTGTATCATCTGACATATACCTGGGGGCTGTCGTTTCCCTAATCGATTTGGTAAGTATTGGTGCATATTTATTAAATAATTGAACATGCTTATAGATGAAGATTTGGCACGCTTCACTAACTGTCATAAATTTCAGCCCTGACAAGTCCAATTCCATTACCTCCGCCGCTAGTGTTGCTGTGTCCATCTTATTATAAGGCCTAAATGTGATTGTCTTCTTTTTCTTTGGGTACCTATCTATTCTCTTGTCAATAATTGTAGATTCGTGGTCAGAAATGTGTGGTTGTTCTACTGTCACAATTGTCACTTTCGCCTTGTCATTTGAGATTATTAGGTCAAGTCGTGCTTTTCCCCTTGTAGAGGATTGTATAATTTCGACAAGGTCGAGCCTATTTAGCAAGTTGTTGAACTTTTTAATATGCGTTTTGTTAGTGTCCTCCAAGTGGATATTAAAGTCCCCACATATGTAGAAAGTTAGGTTGGTACTGGCATGAGCAAAAAATATACTTTCCAAAATGTCAAGGTCAATATTTGTCAGTGTAAATTTTGGACGGTAAAGGCATGAAACAATAAATGTTTTGTTCTTACGTACTTGAATCTTCAGGGTCAATAACTCTATCTTCGAGCTACCCAGGTCAATATCGAGTTGTATTTTTTTACATTTGTACTCATCCCTATATAGCACGGCCAATCCTCCCCCTCTTTCAGTTCTGTCACATCTTGTTATTTTAAAACCTGGAATTGATATTAACTTTAAATCATGCTCAATTTTAGTTTCCGTCATGCAGAATATATCTATATTTTTTGCATGCATGTAATCTGATATTGTGAATATTTTATATCTTAACGAATTAACATTTAAGTGACCTATCCTTAAGTATGTCCTTGTCCTTGAAGAAGAATCCGTTCTGGGGATGTCGTGTAGTCAGTCCATATCCATCGTTGTATTAGCAGTAGATTTGATAATTTTTGTTGGAATAGTAGTTGGATTTTCGCCCTCCATTTGCTGGTTTTTTCGTTTTGCAACTCTCGCCCTAGTCTGTACCGGCGTCCTTTTTTGTAGCACCTGCTGCATTTTAGTGAGATCTTTTTTCACCGATACTTTGTTGAAATTATGTAGTCCTTTAAGTTTTTTGCAATTATTTAAGGCCGTTTGTTTCTCTACTTCATTGGAAAGTCGGATTCTCATTGGGCGGGGTTTTTCAGCATTTAAGTCGCGTCCTAATCTCTCATCCTTTATTTCAATAGTAGAGTTTGGTAGAATAATTTGCATTAGTTCCTCTGCAAGTCTGACTCCATCCTCCCCCTCTGGTAAACCCATCACGATGATATTGTTGATTCTCCTTAACCTATTTATTTCTTCATCTATTTTTCCATCAAGTTGGTCCAAATGTTGCCCCATATCTGTTCTCAGTGTTTTGACTTGCTCCTGTATAACGCTGTGGTTACTTTTTAGCTCGTCCTTTTCTTTTTCGACTTTGTCCAACCTCTCCAAAATATCGTTGTTGGATTTTTTTAATTCATCCAGCTGTGTCATAATGATTCCATTTTGATTTGTGAGTGTCGTGTATACAAGCTCCAAGGTCACGTTGCCAGGAATTTTAACTGGGGCCATCCTGTTTCACAAGAGAAGGGGGCTGACAGTATCTTTTGGGTCTCAAGAATAATGGAATTCCACCAGGGAGGACATATACAAAGTTTTGTGACTTACTTCTATGCGAGTGTATCGTTCTCTTTTTTTTGTGAAGAGTGTAGTCTGTAGTGGTAGTCACGGTAAAGATAATTTCCAATTTCTACTTCCTCCTCCTTCAGTTTTGTGGCGACATGTGTCGATTACCAATTAAAGGCGTAGGATAATTTTGTAGTACAATTGATCTGTAGAGTTGGGGCTTCAAAATGATGTAAGATTTGACCAGAAGGCCAAGGCCAAGTGGCAAGAAGGCCTTCTTGCCACAAAAGGCCACTCTTTTATTATAAGGCATGTATGTCTCACGTATGTAGATATATATCTACATACATGATATATATCATGCATGTCTCGTAATATATTACAGCTTACAATATGTACATTTGTGCATGTATCTTCATCCATGGTTCCTTATGAGTCGATCATTTAAAAATACTGTTAAGTATACTTGACTTAACAGTATTTAACCATGCAACTATAGTTGCATGGTTTGTGAAAAAGGGTTACTTTCCTTGAATCTTTCTATCCACATAATTTTAGGAAAAAGGCACAATATTTTTCAATCACGCGACATATGTATGTATGTAGCACATATCCGTGCTATACGCTACACTTCAAAGAATAGAAATCATCGTACATATTTATATGTATGTAAAATATATGTAGGCTGTGACGACTTCAACAAATAAATTCATTAGGAGCTCAACTTTCTCAAGAAATGGTTCAAAACTTTTCGTACATAGTTGGTGCATATCTCCCTACTGAATGCAATGTACGATTAGGATTTATGGCTCTCTGACGTCAACTAATGTCCATATCCATGTGAAGATACATATGTACTTGTACATACGTTAAATGCGCGTGTACGTATGCCGTAAAAATGGTTTAAAAATTTCACATCCACACTTGTACCTTATTTTTAAGTACCTCATCAACCTATGTATGTACCAGTCCGCGCCTGACTACAACGACCTTCACTTCTTAAAATCCCAGCTAAATAAAACCACAAGAATTTCCCAAACTTCACAATCACAATCATGCCTTATCAAATCTCACGATACATCCTACTTCTCTCCATTATCACGACATATCTCGGCCTCGCCCAAGATAACTACCAAATTCTGCAAGTGCACTCTAACTGCATTAATCAAACAAATATGAACAAATTTGATAACGCCTACGAAAAGTCCCCTACGAAATTTACCAACACTCCAACGGTCGTCATGCTAACCGCAAATGCGAAACTTGTCTCAATTTCTGACGCCCCTGAGGGCAAAGTGTCCATCAATTTCGATATATGGCAGTCGTGGAGCGATCCGAGACTCGCCTTTCACGAACCGTCCAGCTCAGGTTGGTCATAGACACATAATTAATAAATTACAAAATAACCTTAAAATGTTGGATTTCTAAAAAAAAACACGGACTTATAATGCATAAAAAAATGCGATAATTTTTTTCATGTTGCAATCGCTCTTCCATAAGTAAGGACGCCATTTACCCACCCCTTTCAATTTGGGTTCCATCAATGCTCGCAGGTTTTTACAACATTGGAGAACAGCAAACCTCCATCGGATCCAATGGGGAAGTAAGTAAAATTCATAAAATCCGATTTAACAAGTTTCTTAAAGCATGGATCTGTAGGTCTTTCGCCAAGTGTTGGCCGGTATTGATGCACCATTGACCGAAGTTGGCGATACAAAGTTTCGCACGAACGTAATGTTCAATCCCACCGAGTTGGAGGATGATGTCGTTTACAGGTGGAGTCCAAAGCCGGTCACTGTTTCAGAGAATAAAATTCGTGGGTGTGGAATTGCGGGTGTACCAACGACCTGTCCAACTTCCGAAGACACGGAGGGAGACGACAGAAGAATGAACTGCATTCGTGTCATGATCGATATTTCGTGTGCCTAAGGCTCAATATAAAATATGTCTCAACAGTTAATAGATAATTTGTAGCGAGTTTTAATACATATAGATCGCCCGCATATATTTGTATTTATCTATATAAATGTACCTATGTATGTACATTTCACAATAATTGGTAACATAAAAGAAAAAATTATGTACACAATTAATTTTATACTGATTTTTCTAATATCCGACGTGTTGGTGTTAATTCACGTAAGCTCATCGACATCTCATGACTCGTAGATACATACATGTATGTAAGTAAATCGAGTTGACTGCATGGGTCAATTTCAACATGCCATCACTAAAAGGCAGCTTTAGATTCAGCTTTGTGTACATGTTTGCCTGGGTCCATTTCTTATTCTTACCCCCAAATTTATAAAATAACGCTCGTTTTCTAGTCTTTCCTTGGGATGCATTCAAAGTTATGCATTCCTGTTCGGTGCCGTCCATAAATTACGTAACGCGATTTTCTAGACCCCCTTTAACATGTGCAACATAGGCACTATATCATTGGAGCCTGTACCCCTCCTCCCCCTCTCGTGTTACGTAATTGATGGACAGCTCCTCATGCAATTTTCCATGTAAGGAATAAAAGCCACAAGATAATTGTAATGCTCCCACTTTAGTTTACCCGTTTACTACCCCTTTTAATTCTATAAATAAAAGGGTAATAAATGCCATTTTTCATTTATAAGTTTATTTCATTTTTAGGATGATTTCACCCACGCCACATTCCTAGGGCTAGCCATTCTAAAATTTAACACTGTTGGAGAATAGATAGCATTCAGCCAGCTCGACATTCTACTTTGCATATCTTTCTGAAATTCCATTGATTGCAAAATGTGCTGGAAGGAAGACTCAGGAGATGTTCAATCTCAACCATTGGAAACTCTTGGGATGCCAAATCTGGTAATATGCATATCTAAATTTACAAAACTTATTTGTGAGTAGAGACATCAGTATATGAAATTATCTATACAATCTGGTCAGTTTCCTTCAGTCTGGTGGATTAATTATTTCAAGTTAGTTTTCTATATTTTTAATTATTTTTCCTTACCACGGTTACAGGTAATTTGTGTCTTCTATAATACTGATGTTATTCGTTCCTGTAATGTGCAAACCCCAAATAAATATAATTTTCATGTCGTGCTGTTACTAGATAATTTTGCTGTTTGTGCAATGTACAATTGTATATTATACATAATTAATTAATTGATCCTTTTCTAGAATCGTGTTGTAGAACAGCCAGCCGCGAGCAGGATGACCTGTCGACAACGTTTAGATGAGCTAGTCGGGAGATCGAGTATTATGTTCGGTAAGTAATACTTTCCCAATTTTTGGATTTAAACTCGAGAAAATGACGAATAATATTCCAGTTCGGTCGTATGTGTCACATATTTTTTTGTAGAAATGGTGGAATCCAATTGTAAAATTGCGAAAAAAATTCTCGCTGATGCGAAAGCTGAGCTAGAAAGTAAGTCGAATTTTATCATTTTAAAAATTATCCTTATCCTTCCAAAATAAAAAAGAAAGTGTAAATGAGAATTAATTTGGAAATTTTCAAAAGCATTTCCGTTGTTGAGTGGGTACGAAATTCGCAACCGTTTGACGCCACCATTGTGGGTGACGATGAGGGCGTATACATTCTTGCACCTATTTTTATTTTACGTTTATTTTTATATTTATTTTAGAATTTAACTTACCTGGTAACATTCGGGCCACCCTTGGCAGTGGTAACGTCGCTCCTATCTCACTCTGGGATGATATCGTAAAAGAAGTTATCGAATACAACGCAAAACATCAGCAAAACATTCTTCCATATACAAGTAAGATATACAATACGATTTAAACATTTAATTTTTTAACTGATGGGAGTTCAATCTAATTTTTTCAGGAGCACTGAAGGATTATATTGGTAAGATTTAAATACAAATACATAGAAATGTCCCGCAGTATGTAAAAATCTTAAGTACGTGAATTACTAATCTTGTCTATGTGTTACCAGACGCATTCAAGTTGGGACTGCGATCGTATCCACGACTTCAGGACGTTATCAAAAACCTAAACATTGCTGAATCATTTGCAACCAAATATGGTAATTCCAATTGTATAATTGATATTGTGTTCTGCAATTAATTGGCTCATATTTCTATTTTAAAGGTTCGGATTAAATGTTCCACCATTACACCGTATGCTCTCCATATTAAAAAAGCAACAACAGCATCTTTAACTTTTCTACTCAATGATATGTTTAATTCAGTTTATGGTGGATACTGCTACTTGTAGTAAAACAAGATGAATTTCTTTCAATTATAATTTGAATTATATACCAATTCAATAATATTAATATTGCATCGGCAATATAATCATAGTAATGTAGAATAACATTCGAAACAATATATTATTTTTGTTGTGTGAGTGTTTTCAAATTCTTTAATTAATTTTGAGCAGTAAAAAAAACTTTAAATTTAAAAAACAAAAACAAATTTTCCTAAAAATTTTCCTACTGATGTTTAATTTATAAGAAAATTCAAAAATAAATATTAAATATTAAATAAATACATGCATTATCATTATTTATGTATGCTTGACATCTGCTGAATTCAATGATCCATAATTTAATTCAATAGCTTGATACTTGACATTTGCAGTACTTAACATCCCACAAATGCTTAATTGCAATGCAAGTCACACAAAACTCGTCTGGCACGTCATCCCATTTAAATCTTCACAAATTAAGTGTCATTGGTTTTAATTCTGTGTCGGAGTCAGGTTTGCTGGGCAGAATCTTGTTGTTACGTCAATGGACTTGGCGTTATTTTCATATGAAAATAGACTTTTCTAGACCAGCAGAGATCTATAACACTAAACTATAATTATCGGGTTACTTTGCTTGACGGGTTTCGTAAATTTACGGGTGTTTAGTATTGTCCCAGATCAAACAGACAAACGAACAAAAAGTTGGAACCAAGTATGTACTGAAGTACCATTTAAATACATCACAAAATTTTACTCGGTTGCAATTCGCCAGATTTAAAATAATAAATTTCGACGAGCTCTTAAGTAGACTACGTCATATTTCGATTGAATTGTTTTGTAAAACATACATACATATGTACCACTGAACACGTGGACCATGCCATGGACTTAACGTCTACACGATACATTTGCATGAAACATTAATTGAAAAAAAAATTCGCATATGTTTGACATCTTCCAGTCAATTAAATAAATTAATCTTAGTTGCCCTAAATTTACAAGTAATACACTACAAATATAATACACATTGCATTTTCTCATTTCATAGTATCATCCAGACCGAGCTCTTAGTCTCAAAATAATCAAAATTCTTCAAAATTGCAGGGTTTAAACTAATTATACGACAATCAAACAGTTACCAATATAATCTTTGCAAAATATAATAATTCTAAAAATGGGCGAGCCGTCCATTGCTGGTGATGATCCTGCCAAACATTTCGGCACTATCGACTACCTGGTTTTTACCATCATGCTCGCAATATCTACCGGAATTGGTGTGTTTTACGGTTGCTTTGGTAACCGGCAGAAGACCACAAAGGACTTCCTAATGGGGGGCAGAACCATGGGATTAATCCCAGTCACCTTATCACTCTTGGCGAGTAAGCAAACCTCAAATAATGAATTACATATCTGTATTACTGATCGAAATACGCAGTGAAAATAATGTACAGATATACGGCTCAAGGTGCATAAATTGCATTGACTCTATCGTGTGAGAAATTATAGTCCACGGAAAACCGATAGTTTATTGTCACCGTTGTTTGTTACGTACAAATTCCTGTTTATGAACAGTACTAAATTTAATTTTTATAGACTATGAATTAAAAGATTTAAAAAGATTTAAAAAGACTCATATGTTGAACATAATTAACATTTCAGCATTCTTCTCTGCCATTGCACTGCTCTCGGTTCCTGCAGAAATCTATTTAAATGGTAAAATATTTTACTTGATTCATTATTTAAACATTAAATTTGTCATGCTACTTATGTAATATTTCTTTGAAATACAGGCACGATTTACATGATGATGGCACCTGCACACTTTGCCGTCATGGCGGTCTCAGCGTATCTGTATTTGCCTGTTTTTTATAATCTCCAATTGACATCAACATATGAAGTGTGTAATTACAAAAGTCCTATTCATAAATACTCCTTGTCCTGTAAAGTACATACAATTTGTATGTACTTTACAGGACAAGGAGTATTTATATTCATACAATTTATATACTGTATATAAATTGTATGATACAATTTATATACTCTAATTTTTACAGTATTTAGAGATGCGATTTTCCAAGTCTGTCAGAATTCTGGCCTCGTTTGCTTTCACAGTACAAATGGCAAGATACAATAATTCACATAAAAAATATGTATGCATGCACTTTGATGTAATTCAAACGTATCCATAAAACTCACATTATTAAATCATAGGTTCTGTACCAGTCTGTCGTTATCTACGCTCCAGCACTTGCCCTAAGTCAAGGTAAAGCGTTTTACAATATCAATTCTAAATAATTTCAATTAAAAAAATCACTATAATTTCCTAACATTTTTACTTTGACAGTTACTGGAATAAATCTTTATGGCTGTGTCACAACACTGTTCGCCATTGTAATCTTCTACACGTCCTTGGTAATTCGGATTCAATTAAACTTGTTAAGCATTTCATTCAAGTCTGACGCACAAAGATGTATGAACTTAAATTTTCATCTCGTGCTTAAAAACAGGGAGGAATAAAATCCGTTATGTGGACCGACGTTGTACAGATTATCGTAATGTAAGCAACATACATTACGTACACAATTTGTCCAAATAAAATGTCATTGATTATTTTTTATTATAATTTAATTTGTATAAATATTTACAAATAAATAATTTCGAAAAATTAAGCAATAGTTTTCAAATGCATCAAAGTAATTCGAACATTAAACATAAATATTTCACAGGTTTGGTGCCATGATCGTTGTCCTTGTGAAAGGTGGGATGGACTTGGGTGGATTTGGGAACATTTTTCAAATCGCTTACGACGATGGACACATCAAATATTTCGAGTATGTAAGCTTACTTACATACAACTCCTCATTACATATTTGTTTAGAAAATACATATGTATGTATTTATGATTTAATTATTTATTCTCACATCGGAACAGCTTTGATCCCGATCCGAGAACTCGACAGACCACTTGGACATTATGGATTGGGGCATTTTTCATGTGGCTGGCTGTATATGGAGTCAACCAAGCGCAGGTAAATTTTCGTTAATTGCAACGCTACCCCAAAAATATATGAAATGTAAATAATTTTTTTAAACAAAATTTTAGGTTCAACGCTATCTTACCCTCCCAACGATACGACAGGCTAAAATGTGAGTAGAAATTTTAAAACATTTTGAAATGGCATTAGTTGAAAATAAATTTCATTATTTTTAAACTTGAATTAAATAAATGTCTACAGCGCCATTTGGCTGAATGGTTTGGGTCGTTTCGTGTTATTAGTTCTCAATATATTGACTGGATTGGTACTTTACGCCAAGTATTCGAAATGCGACCCACTAATGACCAAGGTACTGCACTGCAATATATATTTATATATTTACCATGAGTTTCTATAAGTAAACAATTACCATTCTTAGCGAATACGGACAACCGATCAGATACTTCCAATATTCGTGATGGATACATTGGGCGATTTTAAAGGTTTTCCTGGCTTGTTCGTTGCAGGAATATTTTCCGGAGCATTGAGGTAAATAATTTGTTACGAAGATTAATAATTAATTTTCCATGTTTCCAAAGTAACGAGTTTTATTAAGTTTGTGTCCAGATTATTGCCTATAATTATTATAATATTACATGACTTGTTTGCAATAATTTGGCAAATATACATCTTTTGGCGCGAATCAACATTATCGCTAATCTTTGACAGACCTTAGTATTTCCATAAAAAAATGATTTATATATTTTGTCCGTAATAACGTGTATTTTCCCCACAGCACCGTATCGAGTGGACTCAACAGCCTGGCTTCCATAACTCTTGAAGATTACGTGAAATACTTTTACCCGAATATAAATGACGCCAGGGCGACGAATATTTCCAAACTCGCTTCCGTCCTTTATGGACTACTATCTTTTGGCCTGGTTTTCATTGCCGAAAGACTAGGCGGGATTTTCGACGTTTCATTCAGCATCTTCGGAATGGTGGGTGGAACTTTGTTAGGAGTTTTCAATTTAGGAATGTTTGTGCCTTGGTGTAATTCGAAGGGTGCATTTTGGGGCACGCTGACATCGCTCGTATTCATGTTGTGGCTGGGGATTGGAACGGCGTTGGCGAATAGTGGGAAACGCGGAGTGTCGAAATTGATATTAAGGTGATATTATATGTTACGTTTATCTGATGTGACTTAAGGCATGTGTATGCCTTGTATGTACATACATGCATACGTACATATGATTGTACCTCACTAATTTTAAAATTTGTATTTATATTCATTACATATTTCACGGAGAACGTATTTTATTTTCACGAAGCTGCAACCATACTCAATGACTTTACGATTCTATTTCGTAATTATGCATATATATATATATGTACCGCATTGCGAGATCGGATAATCACATTTAAAGCGTAAAGTATTGGACTAGCCTAAGTTCGTTAGCCAAAATTATCTTATACACAAATGCATGTTAAGTTGTTAACACTTGTGTGTTGTGATGCTTAGGTAAATATTTAGATACACATCTTCAGAGGATTTACGTGAGTACTCCCATTAATCATTATATTTACTTCTTCAATTAACAGTGTTGAAGGATGTTCCAACTATACTGCGCCAGCGACTAATTTCCTCAATCAACCTGTAGAAAGGTTAATTATTAAAATTTTAGTTTCCTTTGATTTCCCTGTCAATAAAATTTTACTGTTTTTCTGCAAGGATAGCCACGAAATATCCGAATTTTACAAAATATCCTACTATTGGTACGCTTTGATCGGATGCTGTGTCAACATGTTGGTAGGTACGGTTGTCAGTTTCCTCACAGGAAATCAGGACCCTCGAGACCTCAATCCACAGCTTATCAGTCCACCTTGGGATAAATTTATCACGAAATTTGTTCCTTTACACATACGGCAAAAAATATTCTGGGATTTGGGAGCAAATATCGTAAGCAACTTCTACTCGGTTTTGTAAAAATCTAAACTCAAATCGAAAGGACAATAACATTTTACTGTGTCATTGACGTATAGAATACCGATCATCATAAAAGTCAGAAATATGCTGGGAACCATGAACTTGGTAAAATTAATGGAAAAAGTTAATTATGTAGAAGTAGTAACTTGTTAAGCAAAATAAACCATATCGATTTAATTTTCGAAATAAATACATACATATGTGCACAAAAAATATTTCAACATTTGATGCAAATTGTATTCAATACCGAAAGTAAATACTTAAATTCATTGCGTTGATTAAACACAATTCAATGCTTAAGCAACTATAAAAAGTTATTTGATGTACACAAATTGCATGACAATTATTGCAAAAATAATCCAACTTATGTATTTAATTCAATTTTCTTAAATACAAACTGTTCCGCACCGGAGAGTTTGGCATTCGGAAAGATGAGCATAGAAGTAAAGAGAAATCGGAATAATTTCAAATATTTTTCGCTGTACAACACACTAATTTTCTTCCAGTTCTTCTAAAAATTTGCAAGCCAATGATACCCGGTGGCCTTTAAATCATCACTCATATCGAGGTAACCCTCCAGTCGAAAATACTTCCCACTTTGACGTAGAATTTTGTCAATGCTGAACACATAATGTCCGGGGAAGAAATATTTTGTTGCTGTTGCCAAGTTGTGGGGCATGTCGGGATGATTCCAGAAATCTTGAATGACGCAAATTCCATCGGGCTTTAAACAGGAGGAAATTTTGGCAAAGAATTCATCCAAGTTGTGCCGCCCCACGCGGAACATGACTTCAATTCCGACAACCCTGTCGAATCTGCCAATCTCGTCCAAGTCTCGCCAATCTACCTCTAACACGGTAACGTCAAGCCCCGCGCAATTCTTTTTTGAATATGCCGCCATTTCCCGTGAGTTTGTTATAGCGACGATACTTACGCCATGTTCGGATGCTAAATATCGACTCAGGCCGCCAAATCCGCAGCCAACATCTAGCACGCGCATGCCCTTTTTAAGTTTAAGCTTTTCGGCAGTCAGCGCCATCTTGTGGGCTTGTGCTTCTTCAAGGGATTTCGCACCTCGACCATAATAGGCGACAGAAAAGAGGAGTGAGCTACCCAGAAATTAGGTGAAAAAGTCGCTGGAAAAAATATTAGTAATTTACTTACATATATAGTAGTAGTGGCTTAGAGAGGATGTCAGCTCATGAAAATATGCCAGCTCGCTATATAAACTAATTTCGATTATTGTATTCTCTGGTTATAGTAAGTGAGGATAATAAAGGCTTATTATTATTATATAGTTAGCATTATTTGCAGGATTGATGTACATATGTAGGTATGCATAAATTAATATTTAATAAATTCCCGCTTACCAATTTGCGGAAAAATTAGGCATTTATTGGATGGAAATTTATCACATATTTAGATGTACTCACCCAAATTATATGCCGGATTACAAAATAATTTCGCCCTGTCTTTCGTCTGAATATTTAACATGTTCCATCGAATATGATACAGCGGAGCGATTAGGCCTGGTTCGAATTTAATAAATTTTACAACATGACGCGCTACATCGGTCAATCTGCCCATGCAGGTTTCCAGATTGTTAATCTTAATCCAACCTTCCAGCCAGGAATCCACCACACCCACGGTGCCATAGGTTACCATTTTGGAGTACGCTCTCCAGTTTAAAATTTGCACGTCGCCAGCGCCCTTCCCATTCAGGTGGATGTTGAACTGGGCGAAAAAATTTGTTAATGCTGCCCTTATCAATATAGTGAACGGGAGGAGGGTCAAGTATGTGACATGACCACAAATCAGGATCAATTTATCCACAAGAAAAATCACTCCAGTTACCAAGGAGTCCATGCTGGCTGAGGGGACTTTGCAACTTTGCTGATTGCTGGATGCACGGGAACAACAAATTATGTAGACGCTTTATCAAGGTTATAGATTTGTACATAGATAAAAATGCAATGTTGGGGATCATGGATGAAAATGTTGCTGACTTTCAGTTAAGGAAATCCGTCATTCTAAAATTTTATTCGCATTGGATTGTAAAAAAAACTTGATATGTGAACTTATCAGCTTTGTGAACCTGGGGGTTGTTGGAGGACTGGGAAAAGTTTCGCGTTTTAAAGTAGTTGCATAGACAATTTAATGGTATGTTTATATGTGTATGCATTTATAACATGAATTTGAATTCAAGTTTTTGCGGTTTCCCATGATTTAATATAGTCATGTAATTTTATTTTAATTCCGTGTAGGTGATGACCAAAATTATACATATATGCCATCACGATATATCTATGTATGTACAGATATTAGCGGAGCATTGGTTTAGCAAGTTAATTTAAGTGAATAATTTATATCGCTCAGTTGTCAGTTGTATACATATATCTAGTCACATATGTACATATATATGTGACTAGATATGTGAATAATGGAAGTGATGCAACTTCCATTATGCAGGAAATGCTGCATCAATAAATAATTTTAATTGTTCATTTCATAATTTGTATCGTTTCTTGTGCTCTTAAAACATATTTGAAATTGAGGAATTTTTATGCTTTGTAGAAGGTATTCTCGATAAATTCTCCGCATATTAAATATGTGCTCATTCTGAGTATCTGTATTTTCATAGTACACATATGTATGTCGAATAATAATTGGTGGATATCAGATGATTTACTCTGATTTCTGAAGAACAGATTTTTATGTAGGTCTCGTTTCTTCATTAGTTTCATATTTCGGCTAGTGATGAAATTTAAGAAATCGGTGCATATGAGTTATTTTAAAAAGAGACCATTTGCTACTAAATGCATTTTAACATTACTTCAAATATGGCAAGTTCTTTGTTTACATCTTTGTTTATATATTGCATGTGTATTACATATGTACTTCTTTAATCATACAGAATTTCCAAATATTTATTACGGCATTTAACCCATTTTTAAACTCTGTAATAACCTGAGGATTCATAGAAAGTATGATTTTATGGTAAAATTTTCAAACTGTGAAAATCAAAACTGAACTGTTCAAAATTACTATTGTCAAAATCTGATATGATCATTTAGTATTTTAGGTGGGGTATGTTATCAGTTGCAGTCCAGTGAATTGAACAGATTGATACGGATGGATGGAGAGTGGAAATTGATCAGAGTTATCGGCAATATGCGTCAATTTCATTTCGCAAGTTACCGATAACGAACGACGTACATATCTACATACATATTTATGTATAACGAGAGGAACGAGTGACTGATCACACTACACAAGTAAAAGATAACACATTTTACTGAACATATTCGTATATTTTACACATTGACTGATCAACTATTGTTTTGATCCATCAATTCCATACCTGAATTAGTTTTGCACACAGAGTTTGCAGTTATATTAATATTTCATTTGCTTAAACAGTAATATTAAATTTAAAATTATATTTAAACTTCTACTCTCAAGTCAAATTTACGGAATTTCTTCGTAATTTGAAACTTCGGTAAAACAACTATATATTTTCACATACCTAAATTTTGCAAAAAATAAAGACCGATCTATAAAATACTTCTTTTGTTCCTTCCTGCGATTTTAATAATTTTACTGTATTTTAACATTTTTATTCCAGTTTATGAAATGTCTCTTTCAACGTTGAAAGGAAAGCCGATCTCTATCTTGAAGATTACCAAGGAGAAAGTTACCATTGACACGCAGGCTATAAAATCCATCCTTGAAAAGATTGGGAACCACCATTTCGTAATCTACTCGATCAATGGGCCCAAACGGACTGGAAAGAGTTTCATGCTTTCGAATTTTATTCGACATCTGAATCAGCAAAGTACTGGGAACCAGGGGAACGACTGGGTTTTGAATTCTGGAGATATGAACAATTTTACTTGGAGGGGTAAGTCAGTTCATTTTGCTTATATGTATTACGTTTTATGGGACCATACACAGAGCATGTGACAGTAGAATTTGCGAGTAGTTGGGACAAGGCATCTTGTGCTAATTTTGTACAGCATTTAGCACATTTACATGCCTACATACATAAATATATATGTATCTCAATATTGTGTACAAAATGTTGCAAAAATATAGCATACGCATTTTGTACGGTTTCTAATTTATAAATGAATGCATATGTACATATTGTGTATGTATGCATATATGTATGTATTTATATACCTGCATAATATGCAGGTATGAAATTTACAAAGTACATATGTAAATACGAAAAATTCGAGCGAATTGTGCGCACATATTTTTCATAGCGTTTAATGTAATTGTACACTAATCTTTCAGGCGGATCTGAACGTCAAACGACAGGAATTGATGTGTGGTCAGAGCCCTTTTGGACCACAAACAAGGGGCGTCGAATCGCAGTCCTTCTAATGGACACGCAGGGGTCATTCGACGACCAAACGACTATGCAGCAGAACGCGATCATTTTTGCCATCTCGACCCTCCTCTCGTCCGTCCTCATCTTCAATATCAAGAACGACGTGGGGGAAGATGTGCTCCAGTTTTTCCAATTCTTCTCCAGCTTTGCCACCCTGACTATCCCACAAGTCGAAGGGGACTCAGCGAGTTTGGGGCATGGGTCCGGTGCCTTCCAAAAACTGGTCTTCCTCATCAGAGATTTTCAGTTTGTGCAAGACTACGAGTTTGGATTCTACGACGATAGTAATGTTCCTCAAAGGCAGGATCGGAGAAAGAATTATAAAAAGGATAAGTTGGACTCGAACCCTGACCAACCGACGGAAGTGCGATTCACCCATGATCAAGTTGTCCAAAGCTATCGGGTATTATTTTCAAAAATGAAAATACGATGTTCATTTTTCTTGTTTAATTACAAATTTGAGTAGGCTCTGTAAAATATGTACCCAACATTATTTATAAATTTATTATACTTCAAATGTGTGCCTATTATTTGTCTCTTTTCATTACGATACTTGCAACTAAACAAAATATTAAATTTCCTTCCAGGATGTCGGCGTCTATCTCATGCCCGAACCTGACAAGGGTTTAAAACAACGCGACACACTGGACAACCTCGACCCGGAATTTGCCACCCATGTCGCCGATTTCATCACCCTCATGCTATCTCCAGCTCATTTAGTCACAAAGCAAATGGGTGGCGTTGAGGTCACAGGGTTCGAAATGATTAAATACATCAAATCCTGGGCCACTCTGTTTGATGGCAACGAGCTCCCAGAAATCAAAAGCGTCTACCACTCCGCAGCAGAGAGCCAATTCATCATCGCCAAACGTTTGTCGCTAACGTTCTATGCGACCGAAATGGAGAAATTTATTCAACACAATTCCTTCGGCGTGGGTGAGCCTGCATTAGTGAAGAAACACTCTGAGCTGGTCAAGGAATGCTTCGCCATTTATAAGAGCAAATCCAAACTGGGTGGTGCAAACATGGATGCCAAATTTAGCGAAGAATTTGCCGCGGAGTCAGATCCTCTTTTTGCCACATATAAGTCCGTTAACGACAATAAGTTGCAGGCACAAGAGAGGGAGCGGAAACTACAGCGCGAAATTGAAGCTGAGAGGAAGGCGAATCATGATTTGAAGGCTGCCGTAGAGGCACAAAATAAGCAACAAGAACGTGCACAGAAGGAGGCGAAAGAAAGAGACCTGGAATTTCAAAGGCAGTTGAACCGTCAAAAAATGTTACAACTTTTCCAAGACCTACTAGTACCAGTAGTGGCTGGAACTGTGGCAACTGCTTATGTTGCAAAGAGTGGATCCCCAAATATGTTGGGGGCAGCAATGGGGGGTGGGTTACTTCCTGGGCTGCGAATGGAGGACAGTTTTGCATCTGGGAGGAACACGAGCAATAATCCGAGGTGGCAGGATTCAAGAGGAAGAGAGATGGCGTTTCAAAGGACGCTGGATCGTGCGAATAGGCCGGGGTTTCCCGGCCCTCAAATGGGTGCCAGCAGCAGTAGCGAGTTCTTGTCCTGCACCAGTTAACATTGGTAGAATCGAAGTTAAGGGTTTTCAAAATTTGTCCAGTCAACTGAAGCCAATTTAATGATTTTCACAATATCAATCATTATTCCAACTTCAAATCGTCGTTTTACGTAGATTAAATTTAGTTTAGCCTCGTGTAATTTTTATAATTATGTATAATGTTTTAAATAAAAGGTTGACATTTCCTAAAATAAATTTGTATGTATGTGCGTAAATCATGGACAAATGTATCTGTTTGAGTTTACAATTTCTTGGTTCAAATACGTGTTACATAATTTAAAGCATTAGCATAACTCATAAATTATTATAATAATTTACTATATATAGTAACCTCACATGAATATATAAATATATTTATTCATGACAACTTTTTATGTACATACATATGTATTCGCATCACAACTATTTAGCCAAGCCAACTCAGTAAAACTTGGGCGTGCATGGATTCGCAAACTATAATTTAACAAATCTAGCAACAACACATTAATTTCAATGGGTTATACATATGTTGTATGTATAAGAAAGAGATAGAGTTTGAGAAATCTTACAAAATAAAAACCTCCATTTTCCAGATATATATTTAAATCTTGAATATTTACCAAAAAATTCTCTACTCACTAAGCACTCATGTTATGTAATTAATTGTTGCAAATTTATATTCACTCCGACTCATTCTTCCGTTTCATAAGAGAATTGAAGGTGACCATTTTATACAATAATTTGATAAATAATTAACAATTACGACTACAAATTACTTAACGTGACCCACTCTTCTCATCCGAGTCTCTGAATTGGGCCAACACAATCAGCAAAGTCATCAAGATGGACAAAACCTAAAAGAAACAACTTCATCAATATTGCGATTTATTCCAATGAAATATGCTTCCGCCGTTGACGGGTGCCAGATGATTCATAGCGCATATAATAAAGTTACAATTCCTAGCGTGCTACAATTCATAGCACGTTTAATTCGTAGTTTTAACGTCTGATAGCTTGATACAATTCATTGCAATATAACTGATAGCATTTTTGTCACCTTCATTAGAATTGCCATTCAAAATTTAAAATCCTTGGACAAAATAGCATGTACGTGCTACGAATTGTATGCTATGAACTGTTAGTCTATGAATCGTTTGCTATGAATTGCCCTTGAATCGCCGTTGACCCACCGAAAGAATGAAGCTTCGATTAAGTGCAAAAAAATTTTCTGGAGTTATCCTCAGCTTGCAAGTGACCACTTTCCTCTGGAAATCTCGAATCTGCAAAACCACAAAATAGAGAACACATAATGTTAAAAACATTTTCTTTTTTTACTAACTGACACCTTATTTGCTGCGCCCATCTCCCAAGGTCCGTCACTTTCCTCCACCTCACACAGCAAATTCACCAATTTCAATCTCGCAACTTCCAAATTTTCACAATCGTTCCCATAAACGTACAACACATGCATCGATAACAGTGCACACGTCGCGTTTGTAATGGCATTACCATATTCACCCATCTTACCGGAAACAATGATGAAATAGGTGCTACCCAAAATAAAAATTAGATTGAATCCCACCTCCAAAAATATTCTTCCCCCCATTTCATCATTAAAGTGGTCTACAAGATTAACTAAAACATTGTACGTTTTCGAAAGTCTTGATATCTGTGCCCCCGTAATTTTACCCCCCTCAAACTCCCCCCGAATTGAAGACACCCCAGCGGAGTACAGTTTAATAAAGAAACTCAACCAAAGTGACAAAAATGCATTTGAAAAATAGGAATATGTCCAAAGTAACCCACCAACTAGGATGGGACCATTCTGACCCAAAACGGAATCCGTGATAACGCTATATTTAGAGATTTGGAAGATATCCACCAAAATAAAATCACTGCAAAACACAGTCATCAAGACGGCACAGAGGAAGAAAACAGTGCGCAAAAATGAAGCACGAATTTCTTTCTGTAAATCTGAAACAGTCTTGAAATCCCATAAATTTGGTTGGATAAGGCGAACCTTATCGACCTGATAAGTCCAAAATGCAAGGTTTTTTTTTACCCTGATCAAACTCCAGATTCTAATTCCCATCGTATAGCTGAAACCGCAGAGACTGTAAGCAGCAAGGATTCCTGCGTCTGATGACAGCTTTTCCATCCGTTTGAATGCGCTGTATCCTGTCTGTCCGAAGCAGATGATAATAACGGAGAATATCGTTAGGAGCAAGGCATGGAATACGAATGGGACACTATAAAAGTGAAATTGCAAAGATTTGCGATATTTCTTTGGTTGGGATTCTACATCGTTGTTTAATTTGCGTGAGATCACGGAGAGGGAGAGATGCCCGTTAAACTGGACACCAAAAATGGGCCACTTTGCCCATTTGATGAGAAGTTCTTCTTCTGGATAAGTTGATTTTTCAGACGAATCAGATAGTTTCATGGGGACAATTTTATTTATGAAATTTGAGTGTGGAAATTATGGGATTTTTGTGCTTTGCGAATACTGTCGAACTGTACATTTGTAAGATATTTGATTCGAAGGTAAATTGTTTGTACATTCCGTGACACGTTGTGAATCAAGTAGTAAAATTAGTGATCAAATTTCTCAATTAATTTTTTTGGGCGTTCGCCGTTTGTTTGCCTAATTTCATTTTTCTTGTTAATGTCATCACATTAACAAGATACCAAATGAATTTGGTATTTGAATTACGAAGCAAATAAATATGTACTTATGTACTAATGAAATTTGGCGTCGATGATGCTAAAGAAATTAGTCCGCAGGAATAATTGTATTGATTTTTATGTCAAGTAAGTGGTATGCATGAAAAATGAAGAAACAATATTTTTTGTCGTTTTTCATTTAATTATTTCACAAATATTGAATCCGGTAACTTATCACTGTATGCCAATGTGTAGTGTGTTAATTATTTGAGGAAGTGCACAAGCCCATGACACACATGTTTATAAATAAGCTCAAAATTACAACTAGACAAAATATTAATGCGAAATTTGTCTCATGGCAATCAGCAAGCTAACGCGACCTACATATATGGAAAAAAATAGCTAATGCAAATTTTACAACAGGAAATGTTGGTGAAAATTATTTCCTGTCAAAAATTAATTTGTGCTTGTTTTTTTTTACTCCTCTTGTAAAAATCACATCTATTTAGTCCATCCATTTTCTTGTCACCGTTCTTGAGAATACAACGAGTCACTGTATTCTTATGGAGGAAAATCTTTATTTTGTTAGTCGTTGACAACGACTAACAAAATAAAGGAAACAGTTTTATTTTGTTAGTAAATAAATAAAGGTAACAGTCAGAAAGGACAACAATTTTAAACAAAAATTGCACCATCATGATCACAGGATTAGTATTACTTCTCAGCCTGATAGCACAGGAGAGACCTCAAATCAACTCTGGAATTGCCTTATCCACCCTCCCCTGGGGCCAAATGTTTCATTATGGTCATTTCAACCACCAAACGACAATGTTTGAATGTTTGAATTATCATACAACCAGATCAAACCACTTCATCTTGCCCTCTTGGAATAATTTGCTGCCGAAATAGTTTGACGTTCAGCAAATAATTTGGTATGCATGCATATTGTAACAGAAATGCTTTCATACACTTAATTGTACACTTAATTGTAAATTTTGCCAACATTAATTAAGAATTTTATTAAAATAGAATCACATCAAGTCTTTACCACCAGTTTTTCCTGTACATGGACACGACACAAATATGTAAAACCGGATAATCTCCGGGAAACAATTATATTTGTTTTCAAAATGTTATTTTAAAACTACACGTAAAAAATTGTACCATCAGAGGCTTTTAATGACTTTGGATTAAGTCGTGAATGAAAACCTCGGCTAAAAAATTGCAACGAATGGTAAAAAAACACAAAAACTCAATTACAAATTAGTATAATACACATTAAAATTATGACCATAAAAATTATGACCATGTTGAGGATTCTTCTAGTGTCAATTCGATAGGTATGACTTTGATTCATACAGTGACACATTGAAGGAGCCAATTACGGCAAACGTGGAAGTTTTGCGATACGCTCACGGTCTTCCGGAGTGAGATCCTTTGCAATCAACAGTGAATGTCCAAACCCACACGCAATGTCCAAGATTTGGATTCCTAAAATAAAATATTACTATGATTGCAATATTATTAGACCGTAATTTACAAATGCTATAAACATGTGAAAACTTATATACTCACCCTCTAAGGGTTTAGCTTCCTTTGGAACTGTTGAGCTCTTATTTTGCCCATCACCTATAAATGCATGACACTAAAATTAGTTTTTCTGCACTATGTAATAATTGTAATAGGGGTTTGTCTTTTTTACCATAACAAAGTTCTCCATATGTTGGGCTTGGTCCCCAAGCTATTACCTGCATTAATTCAACTGTTTAGTTTTTGATAGTAATTAACCTAAATATTAATCTAATAAAATTCAGTTTTCGTTTAATCTGTCAAGTAAAGCACTACTAATTAATTAAATTTACACAATTCTGGATTTTGACTTACTGTATCATCGGCTACAACCATAATACTAAATAATAATAATAAATGAGATTCTATTATAACACATATGCACTTCTAAATAAGTGTAGTTATATATAATTCATACCTTTTGTTCGCACACGCAATGTTATTTATATTCCAGCCTGACAAATCCAGTACGGGTTTAGGGTACATTGTTGCTGGAATAAATTACAATTTACTTCAGTAAATTTGTAGTCACACACAAACTACATGGTCTGTGTATTATAATTAGAGCCAATTATCCATGCATTTCTTAAGAATTGTCTCTAATTATAATACACACACCATAACATGAAACATATAATGCATACCCTCGCCAGAGCTTTTTGTCTGTCCCCAGAAATAGAGGTTTTTAGTTGTTGCCTGCAAGAACAAGTGATATAATTTATTATAAAAAAATTTGGTTTAACATACCGCAGCAAGACAAAACGTCGACCCGGCTTAAATAACAAATAAATAATTAGGTCCTGTATAATTTTATAACCGCAATACCATTGGTACTGCGGTATATATACATATAACTTGGTATTATACCAAGTTATATGTATATATGCGAACACCTGCAATCTTGCTTATGACACAACGGAAATTTTCCAGTTGCTATAAAATAAATCGTAAACAGTAATTAACAAATTATATATGACATGATAATAAGCATTATTATGAAAAATATTCACACCTTTACTTGACGTGGAACCATCTCATCTTTAGTTTCAGCGTGCCCTAAACGACCATAGCCAGCAAAACCGAACGTGAAAACATGCGATTTATCATCCAAAACACTACAAAACAGACATTTGAACAAAATTAATAACCAGAACAAATAGGTTATGTAATGTAATGTAATGTAATGAAACACCTACATAGTATGATTTGTGCCACACTTGACGTCGGCAATGGAAACGTTCGTAATGGGTGTTGCAACTTGTTTGTTTTTCTCCACAAACTTGGTAATTTGTCGTGGGGATTTCTCACACACAAAGCTGATTTTGTTGGCCTTTTCTAGTAATTTGCCATCCGTACCGTGTCCCCTACGGAAAAAAATGTGCGGAAAATGAGAAAATTTAGTGAGTAGTTTATATGGTTGAAACAACAAATTACATACAATTGTCCATATTCAGGAGAACCGAATGACCAAATTCCTCCACCTATATCTACAATCATGGAGAAGTCCGCCCCACACGCCATCCTTACAATAGGCTTGCCAGTATAATCGATCTAAGCACCAAATAAGGTATCAATTACATTACATGATTTATTAATGATTTAAAATTGGCTTACCTTGGATGGAGTAAGTTTATCTTTTCCTTTGGTTCCTTGTCCTAACTGGCCCATTTTGTCGCTACCGCAAGCTAAAAAACAATTAGTTTATTAGTAACACATTGTATCCACTGATTGAAAAAAAGCTTACAGTACACAGCTCCATAATCCGTCAAGAACAACGTATGTCCTCTGCCCATAGCCACATTGACAATAGTATAATCAGAAAGATGTTTTACTAAGGTTGGCTTATGTTTGGTCTTCGTATCACCGTGGCCCAACTACATATGCACATGTATAACATATATAAGTTAAAAATTTTAACTTCAAACTATTTGTCATTGTTGCCCCATGTATCTAATGTACATAAATCCCACTCATCCGCTATCCACCAGACAAAGACATGCAAAAAATAATAAGGACGGTTCGAGTATCGAGTCGAGTACTCGATACCCGGTTACCCGGCATGATTTGACCTGTTTTTCGAGTACTCGTACTCGATCGAGTACGAAATGTGCATTTGTAACGGAAAGTTGCACAAAAAATACTAAAAATTGCGCACTCTACCACCGCTAGATTTGAAAACATTCCGCATGATTGATTACTAAATTTTGGTTTGTTTGCATCCAAAATTAACTGCATTTTTATTTATACGTAAAATGACCACATTGCCATCAGGGGGCTCGACCTCTTGGTTGGTTGGTAGTCATTTATTAACATGTTATTCCTTGATCAGTACAATTAAATGACTGGTTTACATCAAGTAACACGAAAAAAGAGAATGAGTAAAGAATTAATCTAACTTTTTAAAAACAAATAACAAGTCTCGTATTAAACAAACATATTTTTACGCTTATTCATGATCACTTCTGTGATTCGACTTCTTACATTTCCCGATACATGTATATCATCATCTAGTATTTGTTGAATCATCTTCTACATCAGATGAGACGGTCATGTTGACCAATACACTTCTTACTGCTCGACGTAATGCAGCAATTTTACGGGAGGGAAGTAAAGTAAACTCCAACTAGAAATGAACGACATCAACGAAGCACGAGCATTTGTTCAACCGGACGTGATTCAAGGTCAAGAAATAGTTAACCTCTTATCCCAAGCTGCGTCTACCAACCAACTGTCACAGCAAGGACCGTTGAACATCAATGATAATGCTCATGTTAGTTTTTGGTCTTGTTTTGAAGCTCTTTGTGCCCAACAGTCATTCTGTAATAACTTGCCCACCGAGTCTGAAACTCAAAAATTAGCAATTTCAGCCGAGATCAGTTTGTTTTTATCTGTCGAAAAGCTTCCGATGCAGTCTGAACAACAACAACTGATGCAAGAACAATGGGGGAATACAAGGCCGGTTGAACTGAATGATCCACGACTTTGGTGGAAGAATAATAAAGATTCCCAACTCTGCAGAAGCATGTTAAAAAATACTTAACAGCTCCAGCCACCAGTGTTTACAGTGAAAGAATGTTCTCCGAAGCAGGTCAAATTTATGATGACATGCGAAACCGACTTTCACCTGAGCATGCAGAATCACTTTTGTTTCTCTAACATAACTTGCCGATTCTGAATTACAAGTATTAATTTGTTCAACTCTTATGTTCTATAAAGTTAACCGCTTTGTTATTTGATTGTTATTAATATTTTATCGGATGAAATATAAATAAACCAGTGATTTAGCTTGTTGAGCAAGTAATAATAATGCATTTTTTGTTGTTATTTACACGCATAAGTGCATATTAAAAAAATTTAAATACCCGGGTATTGGCCCGGGTACTCGGTCAATATAGGTTCGAGTATCGAGTAGTACTCGACCCGGTTTATATGGTACTCGAACCATCCTTAAAAAATAATAACCTGTCCGCAGTCATTCCTCCCCCAGGTATACAATTTTCCATCCTCCGAGATAATTGCAGAGTCGCAAGCAACCTACAATATTTGAAGTGGTCAATATTTGAAGTCTTTGGTAACGAATGAGTTCCTGCTTCTGAGTTGATCTGAAAAATATATATAGCACACGCAAAACTGTAAATAATATCTGACATAAAATTGTAGATTAATTTTACTTTATTAACGGACGATGTTGGTTTTTGGAGACGTTATAGTCGTCCGTCTGTCTGTATGTCCTTCCAGACGATAACTCTCGTAAATTTCAAAATTTCAAAACAAATTTTGCACATGTTATTCGTACTAGCCTGGGATTGCTCAGAAATAAAAATGAACGATTTAGCGCGCGCCGAGCGCGCGTAGGCTCGAATAAACTATCTAGTGACAACTTTGTACGCAAATCTTATTAACTAGGCTTTAAGGGCCAACTATTGGCCCTAGAAGGTATGTGAGGTCACTTCCACCCCATCGTAACTATTTAAGCCCGTCATTCCACGTACTGAAGAAGAACATTGATTTTGGGGCAAGTGAGACTGTGTGCGGGCAGTTCAACGGCGCACAGACAGACAGATACACAGATACACATACAAACTTGTCGACTCGATTCTTTAATTAGATGATTTAGCAAGCAACACATAACAATTTCTACTATAATGGAGCACCACAAGCGAAAACAAATTGTCACCAAACCTTGAAGAGTCGCATTTTTATCACATTTATACTATAATACAGAAATACATAAATTGGTAAATGACCAATTTTTTTCCCTCACCTCACCAAATAGCCTAAAGAATCCAAAATAAATCGAATCCCGGGAAAGAGGACGATGAAAACGGACCAAAAGGCATTCGTCAATTCAAACATGTTCATCCAAAGATCGAACAAGGTGAGAATGGATTTTGACAACAAATGAGTCCCATCTTGAACGCTACAGTCAATCAACACTGCTCCAACAAAAGGTGCTTCGCACGACATCGTAGCTCCTAATATTGTTAGACAAAGTGGCAAAATTATCGAGCTGTAACATCCCAGCTTCATTACCAGGTCGGCAAGTGTATCCTTGGCGCAAATTGAGGAACCTGATAACAAAATGAACAAATACACAATACATACAATTATCAATTTTTAGAAACTTGGATAGTAATCGTTGAACAATAAATTACGAAATATTAGTGCAAAAATCCAAAAGAAATTGGAAAAGAACATACTTTTGTATCACCAGAGTTCACCATAAGTTATGGCTTGCATTTTAAGGAACAGGGGCTTTACTACGCTAAACTTATTAATACAGATATGTCTCACCTTCATCTTCTCCATAGTCGATAAATAGTTGTAACATGTCCAGGATTTCGACCCTTTTTGTAAAATTATACACATTGAAAAGGTTCAACAAGGCAGCCCCGTTCGCAAAAAAGATGCAGGTTGCGTGTCTCACGGGTGAGACATCCGGCGATAAAATGCACATGTAAAATAACCCGTTCATGAAAACCATTCGCCAAAAACAAATCGTCAAACCAAACATGTACAGGATAATTTTCAGTTTGGAAAATTCTTGCAGTGTCGTAATTTTCTGCTGCTTCCATAGAACCTTGATCTGGTGGGATGACCTTGACAAGCCACCTCCGGTTGATGAATTGGATGATAGGTATCCATTAAATTAATTTTATTCATTAAATTTATTCATATATTTTTTACACATTTTAACTATAAAAATAAAAGTGGTCTTTGTCATTGTTTGAAAAATAATTTTGAAAATAATTTTTGAAAGACATGTTTAACCAATTTTTGATAATGAAAATTTCCTTAATTTTGTTTTATTTTTAAAAAAATAATCATTATCGGTAAGGATTTGAAGCCGTTAGAAGTTTTATTTGTGAATGAATATCATTCATATAGTTCATTCACAAATAACAATAAAACTGTTACGGCTTCAAATCCTCACAGTTAATGATTATTTTTTTTCGAAATCAAACAAAATTAGGGAAATTTTCATTATCAAAAATTGGTTCATAATTAAGTTTGAAAATTATTATTCAAACAATGACAAAGACCACTTTTATTCAATTTCTAACCGCAAGATGTTAAATTATGTAGAGTTTCGATACCGAGTTTTGTTACCATTCAAGGGCAGATTCTTTACCAGCGTGGTGATGATTTTGTTAATAAGTTTGATAAATTATGATTTTTATTAAATTTTAACAGCCCGGTTTGGACAATTCGGCTGGAAATGATTTGAGGTTGAACTGCGCTGGGGGTCTGGTCCTAGAAGGAGACGGAATTACGGAATGGGGCGACTGGACGACGCCACAGCAATGTCCAAGGGGCACCGTCTTGTGTGGAATTCAGACACAAGTGGAAACTGCTGATGGTAAAAAAATATCTAAAGAACGTGAAATGAAAGTTTCCAATTCCAAGTTTTTCATATTTTTGATTTGATTTTTTCAGTCACGGATGAAACCGGGTTGAATAACGTGAAGATGGTGTGCTACGATAGGCCGACTTAATTTTTTGACAAAATTCTAAAATTATTTGACCTTTCAATTGTTGACACGATAATATAAAAGTGTTATTTGGAATAAATATGAAAATTGCAATGTATAAAATTAGTGGAAATTTTAAGCTAATTTCGCAAAAACGGATGGACATTAAATTCTCGGAAATTTTGCACCAAATGCTGAGATACCAAACGGTGACTGCGGAAGGGTAGGGACAGAGAGACAAAGGTTTTTGGATGTCTCCATCATCTCCCCATGTTATATAAACCCCTCCCTCCCCTATCCTACAATGTTAATGTCCCGACATGTCCCCACGGCTTCCGCGGACTCTGATACCAAATACTGTATGAGATACATATGTGCGCCGCAATTAAAGTTCAACCAAAAATGGAGGTCTCCCACCGTATGCTCCCCGATTTTGAGCAAATTAGTGTCAATCGATCACAAATTTAATTAGTGCGAAATTTGCGAAAGCCGCAATCTTCCAATGGGCACGTTTGGCACAGATATTTGCATCCCAAGAGGAGAAAATGCGCAGTAAATTTGGAGAGTTGGAAATTTGTCGACTTTTTGGTTTTTCTCCCCGTCGGATGTATGTAAATATCTCCTAATTCATTGAGTCTTCTATTTCATTTTCTGAATTTTATTGTTTAACGCCGTTGAAATTATTTAAATAGATTTGATTTATTGTAGACGCAAAATAAGATTAAATTGACGCTGTAAACAAATTCACGCCATTTTTATTGTTCCAGCATTACAAAAACGCCTTCGTCATTAAGGTTCCCATGGATGACGCGTTGGCGCGTAATCTCACTCTGCCCCTATCCAATGTATTCAAATGCAATTTCTAAAATGGCATCAACTTCATGAGTGTTGAGATAAATGGGACTTTTGATATTTTAATGTCAAGCTAATTTTTGGTACTACAAAACCTTGGTGTTTTGAAAAATTAGAAAATTCATTTGCTATTTTTGCACACTAATTTTTTTCAAAAATGAATTTTCTAATTTTTCAAAACACCAAGGTTTTGTAGTACCAAAAATTAGCTTAGTAAACCGTCTGCGCCCGAATTCATAAACTTTTTTTTCAAAAGACGCGATCTACTATTCGTAATAGGAATGCACACAAGGTAAGGAAATCCTGAAGGATTGTTCAAATATTTCTTGGAACAGCACCTTGAAAATGAAATGCATTGAAATGCATTCATCTGACTATGTAAGCTACCTGCTAATTATTATTACTGGTTGAGTGAACAATTGCTATTGCCATAATTGTCATCGAGGTCTTAAAAAGCCTGTATAATATCACGAGTAATTCGCACTTGTGATTAATTCTGTGACTAATTCGCACACGTGGATCTTCGCTTAATTCTGATCTTTTGGTGACCTTAACCTTACAAACAAGTAAGTCGTATTTGTCTGCAAGTAACCAAACAAATATTAATTGTCGTCTTGTGCTATGAAATTGTTTAATTAATTGTCGAAATAATTATTTCTGGTTTAAATTTTCCGGAAATTTCAACCTGCAAGCATAAAATTATTTAAAAAATTCGCACGTGTAGTTTGATTTCATCTTTTGGTAACCTTAACCTTGCAACGAGTCGTATTTACATTTATAGTAATTTGTCTGCATCAAGATTTTGTTCTTGTATTATGAAATATATTAATTATCTATATAATTTCTGAAATAATTATGATTTAAAATTTCCTGGAAATTTAAACCAGAGAATACGTATGTAGCAGTCTAAAAATAGTCATAAATGAATAATAATTGGTCACTCATCCGACTTTTAAAGTCATGACATCATCCTCCTCGTACCCAGAAACAGCACATCGTTAAAAACCTGCAAAAATATATTCATTCACCCCTATTTTTGCAAATATTTAACTTTGTTGTTCTGCAATCTGCATGCATGCGTTCGGGTGCATGATGATAATTACTGAAAGTGTTATTAACATGGATTACGTATAATTATAGCATTTCTCTACATGTTCATGAACTAGCCTGGTACAGATTTTTGCAAAAAAAAATTCGCAACACGGAGCAGAATACAATGCGCATAATATTCGCAAACCAAACTAACCCACTGTCCAGTAAAACTCGTTACCATCATCGTCATCATTTCATGATGATGATGAAGACATGATAATTTTATGTATTGTTTATGGATGGAGAACCTTTACGCAAATTTCTTTTGTGCAAAATATGTGTGCGGACTGTGGAAAGATGATGAGCGGAATTGCATTGTTGACTGGTTCTTTTTGATGGTGGGGTTTAATCGTTGGTTGGTGGAGGTACAGTGGCCGCGGAAGCGTGGGTGGGGACAGAGGGATAATGTCCCCACGCTTGTTCGATGTCCGTATCATCTCCCCATCTTATATAAACCCCTCCTTCCCCTATCCTACAATGTTAGCGTCCCCACATGTCCCCACAGCTTCCGCGGCCACTTCATATGTATGAAGTCATGATCGTCATCAGCCAAGTTTTTTGGTCATATTTGTTACCCCGAGATGATAAAATAATGGACACGAATGAAAGCCAAGTCGTTAAATGAAATGGACAATGCTGATCCTGATGATGATGGAGGGTATTCCCGCAGGGATGTTTTTACATGAGAGGATTTATATTTCTTCTTATTAGTTTTAGTAGTAATCTTGCCGAGTTAAGATTCGCACTAATTTGCATGGCTGGAAAAAATTCGAGATTTGTACATATAATTGAGATTACAAAGATTTCTGTGTGATCCAAATTTTAGTATTTTACATCCTTACAAATTACTTATCTATTGTGGAGAGTTTGTCTGTGCGTGGTATGATTTGTTGAGGGTGCATTGTTGAAATTTGGTTTTGAAAGTTTTCAAACAAATTTTCATGAAAATGTGGAAATTAATAGTAAGCTTGGAAAATTTCATTGTAATGCTGGCCTTGCTGGCGGGATCTTGTAGTGGGCAAGGTACGCAAAATAATAATGTCTAACTTATCTTAATTTTATTAGTGTCATATGTGCATTTAAATATTTTTGCAAATGACGTTAAAATCAAGCTGACCTGGAAAATGAAGGTTTCCCAGCGTATGCTCTCCGATTTTGGGCAAGTGTCAATCGATGACAAATTTAATTAAAATGAAGTTTGCGAAAGACGATCTCTCAATGGGCACGTTTGGCAGAGATATTTGCATCCCAAGAGGAGAAAACGCACCGAAAAGTCCACAAAGTGTACACTTTCCAAATTCCCTGCGCGTTTTCTCCTCTTGATGCAAATATCCCTGCCAAACGTGCCCATTGGGAGATCGTGTCTTTCGCAAATTTCATACTAGTTAAATTTGCCATCGATTCACACTAGTTTGCTCAAAATCTGAGAGCATACGCTGGGAGACCTCCATTCCCATGGCCAATTTTAAACTGTTTTTTAACCAGGGAAAAAATTTCCATGCAAAAATAAGCATTAATTTTTATTCTATTTGTACCGGCCAGCAGTGGTTTTCGAAGAGGAGACGCCACCTGCACCAAGCCAGCAGAGGAGACCGCAACAATGGAACAATGGAAATTGGGGAGGTGGTGGATTTGGGCAAGCTTCTTCATCAGCACCAGCATCAGCAAGTAGTAGTTCGGGGGGAGGGTTTGGGGGTGGAAATAGTCCCGGTTTCGGGAATGGAAATACTCCCGGGTTTGGGAATGGAAATACTCCCGGAAATGGAAATACTCCCGGCTTCGGGAATGGAAATACTCCCGGCTTCGGAAACAATAATGGAAATGGTCAAGGTTTCGGAAACAATAATAATGGAAATGGTCAAGGTTTCGGAAACAATAATAATGGAAATGGTCAAGGTTTCGGAAACAATGGGAACGGTCAAGGAAATAACGGTCAGTCCTCCCAATTTCAAAATGACCCCGACTTCCGAACCCCAGATTGCGAAACGTTTAACCAAGAAGGTGGCATCTGCACGCCGCTCACGAGTTGCGAACGAATCGGTCGCATGCTCCGAAATCGACCCCCCTTCGTCGCCGCGAGACTTTTGCGTAGATCCATTTGTGGTTTTAACGGCCTGTTTCCGAACGTTTGCTGTCCTCTGGGGAGAAATCAGGGGGGAGGGGATAATTCACTGGGTAATTTGTGCTAGCCATTCTATTTATATATTGATGACATAAAATTCGTGCAAAAATTCACTACGATGTTTGTAACTTTACAAATCTTGCAAAAATGTTAATTTGCAAAATTTTGCAAAATAATTTGCATATATTACAAGGTCGTAAAATTTTTGTGGGTTATGTTTCTTCCTAAATTATTGCAAGTTTTCGAATTTTACAGGCTTTATTAAACAAAGAGACGCCCGTCAAGGGCGTCTCTTCGTAGACAATTGTTTTGCACGCCTAGTTTCATTCTTAATCTTTGTAAAGTTTTGTACGATTAAGAATTTTAGAGAGACTAGTACATTACAAATATCGGAGTTAATTGCTGCTCGAGTAGAAAATTGTACTTGAGTCATTGACATTTTAATGTATGTAAAATTCGTCGCCAAAATCAGCACATTTTTACCCATTTCTCTCCTCTGAGAATTTGTTTTACAATTCTGGACGACTAATTTGCATAGCAGGTCGTTCCCAATTTTTTAAAAGAAATATACACTCCAGATTTTGACACATTTTGAAGGATGAGATCTCTAGCTTAAGAAGCCTCCAGAAAAATTGGAACTTATCGAAACTGGCCCAAAAAACTTATCGCCATTCCATCAATCAACTCGCTGACTTCAAATTTGTCGTCCAGAATTTTAAAATAAGTTCCCAGAAGCGGAGAAATGATTAAAAATGTGCTGATTTTACCACTTTTTGCGATGAACCATCGAGTCTTACGTTCTGAAATTTCATCCTCTTTTAGGAAACGGAAATGAGAACAGCTTCCCCCCACAAACCTTCCCCACCACGACGACGAGGACGACCACCTTCCGTCCCCCGCAAACGTTTCCACCAACACGACCACCCCCACCACAAACTTTCCCCACCACGCAACGAATCCAACCGACCCCCACCACGACGCGAAACCCGTTCGGATCCGGGGGAAATGTTGGGGTTACGCTAGTACCCCCAAAAACCACCACGGTTGGAGGCGGTAAGTACGAAAAAAATGCCCCCCCCCCCCAGATTTTTAGTTAAGAATATCCTGTTTTTTAGGCGGTGGGCTTATCATCATTGGACCAACTGCGTCTCCTCCCACGTCCGGTGGAGGATCAAGTCCTGGCCTCAGCGATAGCGGTCTTCCAAACGATTGTGGATTTAGCAATGCCAGCCATACGAGAATTGTGGGGGGACATGCGGCCTCTAAAGGTGAGCAAAAGTTTTACAATTATTAGACTTATTTTGCGCAGATTTGGCAAAATAAGCTTAATCATCAGAGGGCGGTATGTATTTATGGTACGAAAAACCACTGAAATATGTACTACTCCATTCGAGCACAATTGAATTTTACAGAAATTGAGAATTCCGAGAAGGAATTCTCATTTTCGGTGTTAAACTGCAAAGGAAAGATAGGTCGACGAAGGCGATTGACGATATATCAGAGGGCGAGTATGTTTGCGAAATATTGCGAAATATAATATCTATTTGCGAAAAGTTGCTGGTAAAATATTTACGAAAAAAACGCCATCTTTACGAAATACTTACAAAAAAATATGAAAATAAGAATTTTTGAAAAATTTGTATTTTTGAGTATTTATAATGCTCTGTATCCACTTTCTTTGAGGTTGAAGATTTCGTCCCACATCATTAAAATATTTACAAAATATGTTTATTTTTGACCAAAATATTTACGTAATTTTAATCCGCTCTCTGTTAAGAATCCTTTGTGATGAAATATTGTATTTTAAAAAAGTTTAAAATCCATACAAATTTTGAAATTGTTTAAGCAAAAAAATTATACATGTACAACTCGATCTAAAACTTTTCAGAAGCGGATAAGCACCCTCAATGGGTGTAAAATTTGAAAAAAAACTTATGGAACCATGTGTTTATAAAGTTTTTGAAAGTTCCGTCTTCTGAAGACTTTTTGAAAGTTTTTAAAATTGTGAGAAATTTATGTGGAAAAAGTTTTTGAAGTCACTTCTTTTGAAAGATTTTTGAAATTTATGTGCAAAAGTTTTTGAAAGTCAGGTATTTTGGACTTGTTTTTATCTTGATGCAAACTAATTTTTCAGGCGCGTGGCCATGGATTGCTGCCCTCGGGTATAAAGATGACTCTGGGAATGTCAACTATTTGTGTGGCGGCGCCCTGATTTCGAAGGACTTTGTCGTCACGGCGAGTCACTGCGTGTTTAAGAGGAACGACTTGTAAGCGAAAAATTAGCATGAAGAAAATTTTGCAAATTTGCGCATAGAAAATTTTGCAAATTATTTACACAGGGTAACAATTCGTCTCGGTGATCACGACCTCTTCACCGATTCGGATGGCGTGACCCCGCTCGACCTTGAGATAGGGGAAATTATCCAACACCCGAAATACGACTCGGCAACTTTCTACAATGACGTGGCCTTAATCAGATTGAAACGATCGGTCCCATTTAGTCGTACGTTGCATATTTCGAACACTAATTTTCAGTGATTGATTTCTTGCAAATCTTTCATATTTCTTGCAAATTTTTCACATTTCTTGCACTGTAAATAGCACAAGAAATTGCAGACGTTGTGAGGTGTAAGAAATGTGAGAAATGCATAGGAGCCAGTTGGCGGTTCTCCTTTTGTTCTAGGCATTATTATATAGATTTTCCGCTAGATGGCGCTTATTACTTGCATTGCTTGCACTGATGCAAGAAATTGTTTCTTTTGCAGACACAATTTCTTGCACCTGCATGTATTTTTTTACCGTAAAAACTGATCATTTTATGATAATTTTTTTTAATGTTTCCAAAAATTTAGGTCAAATTCATCCCATCTGTCTCCCGTCGTCTCCACAGCTGAGGACTAACCGGTTTGAGGACAACACCCCGTTCGTCGCGGGATGGGGGGCAGTTCAATTCAGTAACTAATTCGAAAAATTAGGCTATTTTTGAAATTTTATTCGCAATTTTTTATTTACCAGACGGCCCCTCGAGCTCATACCTGAAAGAAGTTCAACTACCAATCGTCCCAGATTCCGTGTGCCAAGAAAAGTTTAAATCTTTCAAATCCGTGAATGTCGACGGAACAAATATTTGCGCCGGGTTTGCAGCAGGAGGAAAAGGTACATTTTCTATTTTTTTTTTTTTGTGAATTACAAAATGAGTTTTGAATGAATTTTGAAATTTCAGATGCATGTCAGGGTGATTCGGGAGGTAATAATTAAATCCATACTTTACTCCGATGTAACCCGTGCCATAATTTTTCTGTCTTATAACATTGGCGCAAGTTGCTGTCGAATTTTGCGAATTGAATTTTGCAACTTTTGAGGTGCAAGTAACAATTTGCAAAAAATTAGGGCAAGAAAGTGGTTTTTGCAAATATTTTGACCTGCAAGAATGCAAGACGTAAGAAACTAAATTCCGCCGCTCTAAATACTTCATACCGCGCGTGGCTAGATGGCGCTTATTTTTCGCAATTTTTTGCAGTTTCTTGCACCTTTGACCTTGCATTTCTTGCGTTTTTTGATTTGCACTGCAAAAAATTTATTTGGCAAACCCGCAAAAAACGAAACACTAATTTGAATTTTGCAATGAAAACTTGACATTTTCTTAAATTTTCTAGGGCCGCTTATGCAACCCGTCGGAAACAATAAGTACGTGCTTATCGGGGTCGTCTCGTTCGGATTTAAATGCGCAGAGCCCGGTTATCCCGGTGTGTATTCGAGAATTACGACGCATCTGGATTGGATTGAGAGAACGATTAAAACCTGATAATTAACAATTAAGATTATTTCAATTGTTCTTATGTTAAGTTAATTTAACTGCAAAATAAACTCGGATTTACATATTTACTTGTTAAAACTGTTGGAACTGAAGTACTTTGAAATTCAGGAAATTTGTATAATAATGTGCACCATTTTTAAAATTACTTTGCAAATTTGAACTTGTTCGAGGTTATAAATGTTATTTCTGTAAAAATTGCAAGTATAGTACAGTGCCAAATTTTAGGTGAAAGTAATTGCAAAATTTGCATTTTGCATCTCAATTAAATGAAAACTGAAGGATTAATTCTACATCTCATTGTTTGAAAATATAGCACAGTGCAAAATTGTATTTGCAAAATTTACATTTTGCACCTCAATTAAATAAAACACTTACATATTATGAAGGATTACTTACATCACCTCATTGAGCAGAAACGTTTTAGTCCGCATTTGCGAAAAATCGCCAACTCAACTCAACCACAATTCGCGAATACTGTACATGATTTTAACCACTTTTTCTCCCATCAGCATCGGCCTGTTAGCACATTACAAAAAATAGAATTTTTTCTAATGTAAAGTTGCGAGATCGCATCTCACACAGGCCACGTCTCTTTTTGCAAATTATTTTTTTTGCAACTTGTATTGAAATGTGATCCTGCATTTTCTGCTGAAATTTTTTTTCAGTATTTTTTTTCATGTCCATTTCATTAGTAAAATAGAATTTAAACTTGTAAATTTTTGTGATAGCTGTAACAATATGTTTAATCCTGACGCCAGTTACATAAAATATTGAAATGTCACATAAATATAATGAATTTGAGATGTAATCCAATTGTTAATGAATTGTGTTAATCAATTATTAACAGTTTAATTATAAATATTTACAAAAATGTGTCATTAATTATTTTAGTGGATACAATTCATCCTCCGTTTAAAGAATTTAAGTAATTACTTACAATGGGGAAGTAAACCATGTTCAGTCCAGATTATTTTGCTCACAATAGATCTATTGTGAAGACCTCGAGGTCTTCCAGCGTATATTCTCCGATTTTGAGGAGCAAACTAGTCTCAATCGAGGACAAATTTAATTAGGATGAAATTTACGAAAAACATGATCTCCCAATGGGCACGTTTGGCCGGGATGTTTGCATCCAAAGAGGAGAAAACGCGCAGTAAATTTAGAAAGTGTAAATTTTGGCAAAATTATGGCCGCTACAAGTTTCTGTTTTCCAGCGGAATATGTGCCTATTCGTATTCCGCTGGAAGACAGAGGGGAGATGGACACGTTTCAAAATCGAAATTTGAATACATTCAAAACCCGCATGCTATCGACCAGTTTAAAATATCACCTATTTTTTAAGGGAAATTAGCGTTACCAAGATACTTTAGTCAAGCTTACATTTATTTTCAGAAATTAGTTATTTTCAGAAATTCTAAAATGTAAATAAATAAATACCCCCTTTCGAAATCTGCAACATTTTCATCCCAATTAAAACCACGTGCATACACCATGGCGAAAGGTAAACCTGGCAAGACGCATCATGACGCCGGTGGTGGCACCCATCGTCGTCCCGCCTCTGCCGAGGATTTGTCGGAAATCGACCATCCCACCACCGCTGCCACTGGGGAGGAAGTCTCCTCCACGTCCGACCCGACCCATCCGACCACTCATTCAAATAAAGGAGGCCCACACCGACGCGATGGCGGCGGTCATCATGACCACCACCATATCAACCTGTTCAAAAAGATGTCGGAGTACTGGAAGGGGAGCGCGATTTTGAAAGATGACACGGCAAATCCTGCAAGGATCGAGTCCCCGGCGAAAAAAGATTCCCCCGCGACGTCCGGAATGTTGGTGAATATGCGCGGAAAGGTGGTCAAAGACTTGTGGAAGGTTTGTTGTAATGGTGAGGAATTAATTAATTGTGGAATTTGAGGGGCATAGTGATATAGGATTTTTTTGCATGTTTTTTTTACATTTTTTGCAATGCGTAGGAGGAAATTGCAAGAAATGAAAGAAATTGGCAAAGCCATTTGGGACATATTTAATTATGGGTGGCTCTTGTTTTTTGCATTTTTTATACTCGTGTAAAAAAGTGCAGAAAATTGCAAGAAATTTAAGAAATTTACCCCACCATTTGTGGTACTTATTTAAAGATGATCCTTATTTCTTGCAATTCTTGGACTCGTGCAAAAAATTATACCTGCTAAAACCGATTTTTACTAAATGCGTATGTCCGTAGAAGTGGCAGCTGAAAGAGAGGATTGCAACAGAATATTAGCATCCCTTGGACTCCCACCGTACCAATTTTGTAAAGACAAGGCTTACCCGCTCACGGATTATGATATCGCACCGGATCTTGAAACAAGTAAAAATATATGATGAATGTCAAAATCTTAGTCATTTCTCTGTTCTGGGAATTTAATTAAAAATTCTGACGACGATTTTGTAGTCAGTTGATAAACGAGTTTTTTTAGCCAGTTTCGACGAGTTCCAATTTCTTTGAAGGCTTCCTGAACTTGAGGAACTTTTCCTTCAAAAAGTGTCAAAATCTGGGGTGTACACTATTAAAAAATCGGGAACTCTACAAATTCGTCGAGCAGAATTTTAAAATAAATTCCCAGAGAGGAAAAATGATTAAAAATGATTTTGACGTTTTTTTCAAATTTTTATTTATGTATTCAGGTAAAGGCAAAGATTTCCTGGATTTTTACATCTTTCCCGTTCTCCTCCCCGGAATTCAGGCTCTCCTCCAGTACGCCAAAGATAGTCGAGTTTTCCAGTGCAAATTTCACAGTTTCGACCCCATCGATTACATTGTGCACTATTTGCACAACAACAACCCACGCTATCCGGATAGAACGGCAAACCCGCGGGACTTGCATGACATCCCCTTCGTCAAGACGTGGCTGCATCGCTAGTAAGATTATTGTTTTTATATAATTATGATCAGTGTATCGGGTGGAAGAAATAATGGGAAGAAAATGGTTTCTTGCAGAGAAATATTTTGACCTGCAAAAAATGCAAGGTGCACGCGCAAGAAACTACGTGCCGCTATACATAGTTCATACGGCGCGTGGCTAGATGGCGCATATTTCTTGCACCGTCTCCCAGTTTCTTGCAATTTCTTACTTTGCACTGCAAAAAATTTAGCAAACCTGCAAGAAACTAAGCACTGTTTAAACCACGGAAATTTTAATAATTCGACAGAAATGATGTAGCTGTAGTTCATAGGGCGCGTGGGGAGATGGCGCCTATTTCTGGCGTTTCTTGCACCCCGCAATTCCTACGTTGCTTGTTTTGCAGTGCGAAAAATGTAGCAAACCTTGCAAGAAATAACTGTAAGAAAGTGGTTTTTACAGCTATTTTGACCTTTAAGAAATGCACAGCGCACGAAACGACGCCCCGCTGCGATAAATACTTCATACGGCGCGTGGCTAATGGCGCATATTTCTTGCACTTTCTCCCAGTTTCTTGCACCTCACATTTCTTGCATTGCTTTCTTTTCAGTGCAAGAAATGTGGCAAACCTTGCAAAAAACCAAACACTGATTGTTACGGTGAAGAAATTAAATATATATTAATTTTCTGATATTTCTCCCCAGCCCGCGACGCGCGTTAGCGAAATGGTTAACAATGCCAAGGGACGAAGCAGCTCGCATCATTCAGCGACACGTGAGAGGATTTTTTGCCCGAATTCGGCCCGACGTTCTGGAAATGCGACAATTTTGGAAGGTTTGCACATTTAAATGTACTCAAGTTTTTAGTATTAGTGTGAAATTTTGGTGTCTTTTTGGTTACAAATCAACCAAAAAATTGGGATCATCATTCAGTAAAAAAATTTCTACAAAAAACTACATTTTGTTTTCGAATTTCTAACCAAAGAACCTGAAGTGTTAAAAACTTTGCAAACACACCTTTCTACGAATCCGATTTTTATTTTTACTTTTTAAATTTCTGAAAAAAAAACTACTCTCACCTTTTTCCAGCTTCTTCGCAAAGAACAATTCGAAGCGAAACTCCGTACGGTGCAATCTTGGCGAAAACGTGGCGCAAAAATGACCCTTTACATGGCCGCGCTCACAATTCAGCGCGCCATTCGCGGCTTCATTATTCGGAAGCAGCCAGCAATTGCGGAAATGCGGGCGGGCTGGAAGGAAAAGCATGAGGAGGAGGGCTTCGACTTATTCAATTTGGACAGCCTGCTCGACGACGAGGGCGACGCGGACGGCGGCGGCGGTGGTGGCGCCGGGGTCGGCGGTGGTGGCGCCGGGGTCGGCGGTGACATGGATCTCACTCATTCGGAAACATGCGTCATATGTGCGAGATTACGGGAACTTTTGAAAATTGAGGAAACCAAGGAACCCATTCATCGTCCGAGTGTTAAGACGCCCCAAGCAGTTGATAAGCAAGGAGGAGTGTAGAAGAGAATCGCAGTTTGCGAATAATTTGCACATTCAACGTAGGACTGGATGACTTATCATCACTAAAATCGACGCATTTTTAAGCATTTCTCCGCCTCTGGAAATTTATTTTAAAATTCTGGACGACAAATTTGCAGTCAGTGAGTTGATTGATGGAATGGCGTCGAGTTTTTTGAGCCAGTTTCGACCAGTTCCAATTTTTCTGAAGGCTTCCTAAACTTGAGATCTCCTCCTTCAGAATCTGGAGTGTACATATATTTTTTGCGATTGGGAACGACCTGCTTTACAAATTTGTCATCCAGAATTTTAAAATAAATTCCCAAAGCCGACAAATCATTAAAAATGTACTGATTTTGACTTTGGCTACGAGTCCTACGTTAATAGAGAACATCAGAATAATTAACTGAAACCAAGTTGTTAAATGACTAACATTTAGTAAAATAAAATCTAATATTAAGCACGAATGGAAATTTTACTTTTAAAGTTTAAAATGCAATGATGCTCATACCGTAATAGATATTTGGTAATTATGGTTTATAAATATTTCCGCTATAATCTGAAAAATAGGAGAATATCTTATATATTTTTTTGTAAATGCGTATATATTTTACAAATATTTCAACCATGTTAGACGAAACTTTTTGCTTAAAGAAATTGGATCACAAAAAAATCA